ACTTGTGAAACGTGGCGGTACGCGAAGAATGCAATCCTCAAAGTCTCTGCTGAGCATGGCAGAACTGCCGCCCCTGCTGTAAGTGCGACAACTCTCGAACCAGCCCTAAGCATTGAAAAACCCTGAAATCTAACATTCTAAACCAGGGATCCAAGAATGTTTGGATTGGGCTCGTAGGGTCTTGGGCCTTGAATCAACCGAGTTCTCCATCACGCCAGCAGACCGGTTTGTGGTGTTTTTGCTTTTTTTAAAGGGGCCTCTTGCTATTCCCGCAGAAGGTCTAGAGAGCCTCTTATGAGTTTAGGGTGCTAGGCCTAGGGTTGTTGTGCGCTGACCCAAAAACCTGTTGCAGCAGCTCAAGAGGCTGATGCAGCATCGGAGGGACTCCGAAAATGTCACGTACCGGAGACTAGAGGCTGTGGGGTTCTCTTCGGGCTTAGCGGGTAAGGGTTTAGGGATTAAAGTTAGTGGGTTCAGAGTTTAAGGGTTCTGGGTTTACGGTTTGCCGGCTTAGATTTCTGAAGGTGTTGGAATTTACGGTTTTAGGGTCTAGGGTATCTACTTGTTTTACTGCTTGACTCTAACCTCTGCGCTGCGGGCAAACCACTGGCGTGACTCATTTTCGCTCGCGATTAGAACTGTACAGAAAAGCATCCACAGTGCCCAGTGCTCGAGAAGCCATAGGCCCTGAAGTACTCAATGCAGCTGCGTTTGTGGATACATTGCAGACGCAAACACACCCAGAGAGCCCTATACCCCTTATTCAAGGAATATAGCCTAAATCATAATATGAAGCCCTATATACTTTAAACCATATTCCTTAATTAAAGACTATTGGGCTCTCTACACACATGCATGTGCAAGGGGATCGATCTCTCACATGTCACTTGTTGATCTTGCTCGTAGTCAAGGCCATGTCGCTAGGCTTCTCGGGGTTCCTAAGCATGGGCTTCCTTAGAAGAACGCTTCTAGCGCCCAGGGTCTTAAGTGTGGGTCCCTGACTGTCTGAAACCCCAACAACCGGAAAATCTGAAAGCTTAAACGCCAAGCTTTGCACTGTACCCTGAACCCTCGCTAAACCCTGAGCCCCTCAAGGCTATGACTCCTCTGGCATCCGGGGCTCCTGGGAACCCTGAAGCCACCCACCTCACGATTTGCGTCTGTACATGTGAGGCAGCTGCCGGCACGGTGATGGCTGTAGGCAGAGCCCTCCCCCACCCGCGGTTTAGGGTTTAGCGAAAAATCTTAAAGGCTACTCTTGGGGTCCTTTAGTGGCCGCGAGGACGCAAGTACCCTTGATCTGGTTGTGGTCGGGTGTGACTCGTTTTCGTGGGATTTAGCAAGTGCAGACAAACATTTAGGCTCAAGAGCCATGCATGGGAAGCGAAGGCTAGAAGGAAATCGGGAAGCCTCTAGCGGTTCAGGGCTTGGAGTTTAGGCTACTAAGCAGGTTATAAGTAGGGAGGTTATTAGGGTAACTCCATTTAGGTACTTATAACCCTACTTATAACCGACTTACTAAGTCCCCTGGGCCTCTAAGTAGGGGTAGTTTCTGACTTATCAGAGTCTATGGGCCCTGTGTGTTCTCCCCTTAGATGAGACCAACGAAACCTTCAGGTGAAGGGCCTTGGCTAGACACATTTTGAGGAACAAGCCGTGGGGAACTACAGGAAACTCTAAACTTTGAACTTTAACCCGCCGCACAACAAGACCCACGCCATCACGTCCAAGCTAGCCTGGTGAAGAGGCGTAGCCGGCTTTTTTGGCTTTCAGCGTTGATATCATGCCCTCCTGGATAGCAGAGTGGGGTCTGCGTTCACGGTTTGAAGTTTGGGGTTTAGGGTGTAAAGCTTCGCATGAGGGAGGTGTTGAGGTAGGGGCTTAACAACACGATCTTTGCCAAGGACCTGTGCTTCCCGCCTGACATGTCTAGCGGCTTTGGGGCTTAGAATCTGCAGGTTTGTTGAGACCACTGCGACTTCGGTCCCGATTCGATTAGACCCACAAGCACATGCTCTTATGCAGCATAACAAACTGCGTAGTTCTCTAAATCAGAGTCCCTGGCCGGGTCCTTTTCTTAATGGGTGACGCACTATTTTGGCGCCAATACCCCTTAATAAGTGGATTCATATTATGATTTAAGCTATATTCCTTAATTAAGGAGTATTGGGCTCTCTGGGCTCACATGCATGCATGGACATGGTTCACATTACTTCATATCTCGTTGAACAGGATTGTCGTCTGTTCGACACATGCATGCACCAATTCAAAGGGGAAAAGGAGGGACCCTTAATGGGGACCCCTACCCTATAATGGGGCTATATAGTGGGAATATGATGGCTATATTATGGGTATATACCTAGGGGTCCTTATTAGGGGTCCCTCCTTTTACCCTTTGACCAATGCAGGCCTCCGAGACCTCTCGAGTGTGGTTTTTCTTGTTTGCTAAAACAACATCCGGGCGGCGGTCACATTTGTAAAGGGGCTTAGGGTTTAGGGTTTAAGATCACAATCCAAGCAGCCATGTGCATCAGCATGGAGACTTGGGTTGCGGGTATGCCAATCCGCCACAATCATGAGAACACTACGGGTGTCGTCTGCACCCGTACTGGCAGCAGTATTGCTCTTGGCCATGATGACGCTGCACAGGCCAGCTGGAGCAGAAGAATAAGACAATGGCCTGTGCCATCAACGGCGCGGGCTCAGGGTTTAGGGTTTAGGGTTGTTTCATTCCGTTATGGACAGACCGGCAGAACCACAGCTCCTGCTCCTTCGCACCCTTTCCTCATTTCCGGTGCTCGGGCGCACCCCAAATTCTGGAGCCCACAGGAATCCGAAAACCCTAAACCTCAACCTTAACCTTCCCCAACCACCTTCAAAAAACACTGAGGGTCCATTTCGGGGCGGTGGCTGGAAACATCATGGGGAGTTCTCTAAGGGTTGGAGGGCTTGGGGAGGGCTTCTCTAATTGGGGTCCGTCTCAGGATTTTTATTCGACTAATGCAGTACACTTCTGAAGGCCTCAGCAGAGGACCTAATTTAGAGAGCTACCGACATACTGACCCTGACGTGGAGGCCTGCTACAACAAGATCAGGGTCATTGATCTGTTTCGTCAGTCCAGACGAACCCTTATGAATCAGTGAAACCTTATGCATCATCAAGCCTTCTTGACAGAAGAACTCCCGAAACCCGAAACTCCAAATCCAAATTTAAACCCCAACGCCTAAGCCCTAAACCCTGAACCCTCGAAGAAGTCGCAATAGGAACCCAGAGACTCCAAAACCCTGAATTACGTGAGTATACAACAAATCTTATTATGCTTTCTATTTTAAGTCAAGGTATATTTCTTAGGCAGGGAGCTAGTCTCTACACCGGAACATACAATAAGTCCTAAGTTCCTGATGGCTCCTGGTCTAATATAGGGGCTTTCACAATGAGAGTAGAGCTTTTGGGGCATACTGTGATACAAGTATGGGGTTTGCGAAGACAGGGGACCCTAATTTAGTACCCTAAATAGTAGGATCCTCATTATAAGGACCCCAAAATAGGGTACCCCTACTTTTCGGAAACTCCCGTATATACTCGGGAACCCGCGAGAAAGAGTATTGGTAGTTGTTCCGACGCCTGTGAGCTCCGATCTTCTGGCTGCACTTGGAGGTCCCTAAGCCCTAAACCCTAGGCCCTAAATGGGTAGTTCTAAGTAGGGTTATAAGTAGGGTAACTATACTTATAACCTATAACCCATATTAAGGGACTTATAACCCTACTTACATACTAAGGGACTTTTAACCCTACCTGTAACTACCCCTGAACCTCCAAGTATGGTTTTGTTGGACGGGATCGCTTGATCAGCGAATGGACAGCATCTACTTTTCACAGACCAAATCGTCTTCTTCTCGAATTCAGCATGCTGAGTACTTACCTTTGCTTAGTAGGGAATGGTAGTAGTAGCTTCAGCTTCACTCGCAGCGAGGAGAGTCCTGTCGCCATGCGTCGGGAGTGAGCAGGCATTTCGAACGCCCGGAACCGATTGGCTCATGATCAATTTGGATCATCTCAAGAGAAAAGTCAGGCATCGACACACACCGTTCCGAAGAACCTTAGTGTTTAGCATGTGCGTCGCCAGTGTGTGCCAAACCTTCGTTTGAAGGCGAGGCATGAGCAGCTCTGTCGAGGCAGTAAAAGAGAGCGTATCCCGTTGCAGTAACATGTGGTCGATCAGCTTTCCCCGGTTTCACTTTCGCTGCTGCTCTGCCATCGTCACAGCCCCACAGACACTCATCACTGACCAGGTTGGCCATGTAGTGTCCTGATGTCGGTGTGGTGCCATGATGATCGATGAATGCACTGAGCTTGTATGCTTGATGTGAAAGTCGGTGCCTGCTCCCCGAAAATAAAGGCATCTGGATCACAGGGTCCAGTTGCACCTTGAGGTGATTTTTGAGAATTCGATCACTTCGTTGCTCAAAGCGGTGAAGTTGAAGCAGAATCACCGGGGGTGCTACCGTCAGTCCCTGTATCGTGTCCAAACCCCTGCACCAGGTGTCCACCAAGGATTGAATCCTGAGTGAGGTGGCGGATGTCGTAGGGTAATCGGATGGCATATGCAGGATGATCGACTGAGTGCATTGGCCTGTGTCCACAAGCTGCATGTCCCCCGCCATGGTAGGTGATCGTGCCTGCCATGAGCCTTGAAACAAACCGAAATCGTTCTTATTTAAGAGATGTGACAAGAATTCGCATACATCATGTTGACGATGGACCTCGCCCCAATCATCGATCAAAGTTTGCCACCGAGGGTCGTCCGTCAGCCTGCATGGTGAAGAAAATCGGTGTGTAAGGACTTCTTGAAACAGCGCAGCACCTACTCCATTCAGCAGCATACTCGGTATCGGCATTCGTTCCATAAGCCAAACCAGGACCTGAAAAGTGGAGTTCATGTAGCAGATCGAGCTTGGGTTGAGCAGAATGAGCTGGGTCGCGGACTGAGGGCCCGGATCTACCTCCGGCCATAAATCATCTCTGCCAGTCGCTGCTCGGCAGGCCCTCTTGCCAGGCTTTCCGTCTTGTAGGCCATTCCCGCAAGTTGGAAAACTGCATTCCCCTGCAACATCTTCATTGTATCCCACATTGTCAAAGCACTGTGACTGCGGATCGACAGATCTAGTTTGAACGTAGCTGGGCTTGACATTGTTTCCATAAGTTTCCGCGTGCAGCGGAACCGGTTGACAATGGGCTGGCGAAGACACTGAATGATGGTGGCCAGATGGTCGAGTAGCTTGTCCTCCGGAATCGGTGGCCGGCTGCTGTCTTGCTGGAGCTGTTTGGTCTTGTGATTCCAAACCTGGTATCTCCAGCCTCCTTGGGTGTCTCTCCATCCTTGGTCCACTACCTTCTTCAGTCTTTCTTGCGAAGCTACTGTCTGAGTCAGTCTGTCGGTGATTTCCTTGAAGAGGGCCACCGCCAAAACCATGCGCAGGGGGCTTTGGCCTAGCTGCCATGTTGCATCCTGATCCTGTTTGGCCTTGAAGTGCGCCGCTACCTTGTATAGGTGATGAAGTACGCTTTCCTCCCCTGGGCGTAGAAAAAGCACCAGGGCCGTGTCTTGCTTGAGAACCTTCAGCTCTTCCTGTTGCTGCAAGACCGTTTTTGCCAAAGTATACAGCAAGGGGTCTCTGTTGTAGTGTCGAGGAGGCGGAGCTTGGAAGGGATGTCGTCTCGGGTCTGGGTGTGGATGTGGAACCGGTCTCTGCTCGCCGAAAGGGTCCCTCCGTCTTTTGTTTCCCGTGAAGGTGAAGGGGCTCTCTGCTGGTGCTTGGCTCCACGGAGACGCGCTTGGCATCATTGGTAGGTCCACTCCCTGGATCTCTCCAAAGAATTCTTCCCAATCCTGGTCCCCGAAGGCCATGTTCCTCGTGCAGCACGCAGAGAAAAGCACACTGCCACAACGTGGTACACTTGAGAAGATGTGCTTTCCAGTCCTTGACTCGCCTGTGGCAGAAATGGCACTGTATGCACGGAGTAGCTTTCTGCTCGATGAGCTTGAGGGCTTTGTGCGCAAGCTGCTGATAAAGATGCTTGTGTGTGTGCTGGTAGTGCGTCTTAACCACTTTCTGCGAGGCTATCCATTGTCCACATAGCGCACATGACTGTTGCATAGAAGTCGTGATGCTTGTTTCAGCAATGAAGGCATTCAATCCTTTCTGCACAAGAGAAAGCACACGTTCCTGAAAAAGCATCGGTACAACAGGTGTTGGCACTGAGTCATGTATCCGCTCGGTCTGAAGTGTGGGCTGAGATGACATACCTGATGAGTGGGCTGGTGCACTGGTGACATGGTCTTGGGAGTCATTCACGCCGTCTTTTTGCTTCGAACCTTCTTGCATGGGTCCAGGTCCGGGCGCTAGGGTGTCGGAAGTCTCGGCATCCTTCTTTACCTCGGTGTGCAACATGTTCTCTCGAAATGGTTCCTGATCCGGAGTCTCCTCGGGAGTAGGCAGCGGAGTCTGGCTTGCCCCAATCTCTGTCAAGTCAGTGGTTGCTTGCGTGTCCTTCAGCGTCTGGGCAGTGCAAGCATCTGTGTTGATATGTATTTCAAGGGACTGCCATTTGCTGAAGCGCTTGAGACATCCGGAACACTGAGGGAGTCCACCGACTGAGTGCACGATGCGGTTGAAGATGTTCTTTCGCTGCGCCACGATTTTGTGTGCACGCCTAGCATGGGTTTTGAGAGCTGCCTGCGAGACAAATTGCTCTGAGCATAGAGGGCAAGCCCATATGGCTTTCTCAGTGTCTGACTCTGGTTCTGTCGTCTGAGCAGCCTCGAGCAGAGCCTGGGAGATAGAGTGATTCCACTCTGAGTCCACAAGCCAGTCGGTCGCCGTTGCTTGTTGTTGATCTCGTTCATGTGCTCGCTCAAGTAGGTCTTGTGCAGTTTGAATGCCATATTTAGTCATTATATCCTCATGTGTGTGCCCCGTACGGAAAGCCTGGTCCGAGACAATGGCCCGGATGTGGCGCATGAGGGCCCGCTGAAGCAGACGTATTTGGCCTGCACCAAGACATAGGCTGTGGAGGGCGTACAACATTGTGGAGAGTACGCAGCTACGCCATAGATTGAGCTTATACGGAATCGAGACCTTTTTGGTGTGGAGGACCGACGCCAGCGACCATCTCCGATTGTGAGCCTTGTTGATTCGATGCTTGACAGACTGTAGCTCAAAGTTGTCATAGGAGATGATCAGTCCTAGATACTCGGCCTGGTCCACCAATTGGATCCATACAGTAGGATCTCCTGGGGAAAGAAGCAGTCTTCGTTCATTACCGTGGCAACGAATGTAGTGTTTCTTGATGTAATGCTTCATGTTGCCTGTAAGTCGAAGAATGGCCTTGGTCTTGGTCGTGTTCACCTTCATTCCCAGTCTCCTGAAGACAGCGATCACTCTATTCAGCTCACTGATGGTTTGCTCAAAGCCGTAAAGACTATGAAAGGTCCATTGTAAGTGCGTGTCGTCGGCGTACATCGTGGAGTGGTCCGAGCTCCATTTGTCCTCGATGCGCTTATCAATTGCTTGACTGAGGAGAGCTGTGAAGGCAGCCCAGAGCACTGGGCTTGCAATACATCCCTGTCTCAATCCCCATGATGGCCAAATGTCCTTCTCCATGCCTTTGTGCTGAAAAGTGTAACGAACTTGACTGAGCCACTGAAGGAGAATTTCCTGGATACTGGGATCGATTTGTGCCAATTCTAACGCATCTTTAATGGTAGCCCAGGAGACAAGATCAAACGCTGCAGAAAGATCCATACTTATCTGGAGTCCTCCATAGTTCCTGATGGGTTGCGCTCCCTCCTTCAGTTGGTGAAGGTTCACTCTGTGTTGACTGCAAGCCTCTCGCACCTTTGCACAGTGCTTGTAGACTCTCTTGAGTGCCGTAGTGGTGCTCCTGTTGGGTACGTATGCACACTGAGGCCACTTCTTGACAAGATCATGGATTTGGTCCTTTGCCTGTGCAAGGAGAACCTTCATGATGCTTTTGCCCACCGGATGCTGTAGGCCAATTGGCCTCCAACTAAGGGGCGTGTCGTTCTTGCCTGTTGGTTTAGGCAAGAGAGCCACTGTGGCATCGGCCCATTCTTGTTGTACATGTAGAACCGGGGAGCTCCATTGTGCGCATACCTGTTGAGAGATAAAGACTGAGACTTCCGCCGAACAGGCTTTCCAAAGTACTGAAGGAGCCATGTGAGCAGGAACTGCCTTGCGAACGGGCAGATGTTCAAGTTGGTGCCATACCTCTGCTGGTCCAATGAGTATGGGATCATGTTGTCTGATGTGTGCTTGAGTTGGTGGGGCTCTGGCTCCGTACCTCTCCCCGAACTCTTCAATGATCCAGTCAAGCTCGGCTTCAGGAGTCATCATGTGTCCGTTCCTGAACAGCTGCAGCTTTTTGCGCTTCGTCTTGGGGGCCAAACTTTTGACTACCTCCCAGATCTGGAACATATTGTTGTTCTCGGCTGCTTGCTGGGCCTTCAGGATCAGATCTCTCCGCCAAGCTTTACTGCGATCTTTGGCCCTTTTCTTATGCTCTCTATGTGCCTTAGAGAACTGAGACCATTGCCTCCATGAGTGGAAGACGCCGGTCAAGCTGAAGGAGTGTGTTCTCATCTCACGGAAGATTGCCCACATGTGACGAGCACAGTGAGACAGTTGCATATCCGCCTCTTTGTGGGGATCATCAGCTGCACGTTTTGGATAAAGCTCTTGTGCTGCTTGCAGTAGTCCTTCCTCGAGTTGTGGGAGTGTGCTCCAGTCGCCATCTCGAATGCCTTTATTGACACTATGACGCAGTGCATTGAGAGCCTGCGTGGGTTCCGGCAGCTTGAGGTCCTCAATGATGTGGTTGATGTCGATCCTGGGGCTTTTGTGGATGGGTGGTGCTGAGCTTGTGTGATGTGGAATGCGAATGTAGGCCTGTACAGGGTGATGGTTGGCTCCCTCTCTCCAGCTTGCAACCGGGAAGTGTGGCACAATCGCTGCCTGTTTGGCTTGACTGTTGGCATCCGCTTGTCTACATATTATGTAGTCAATCTGAGATGCAAGCGTGCCGAAGGTGAAGGTGGCCAGCTGATGATGCTCTGGCCTGTTCCAGGTATTCAAAGCTGTGAGGCTATAGGAGATGAGGATTGACATGAAGTCGTTGTTGTCCTTGTTGTGTGCCTCGCTAGCAGGAAGCACCCATTTGCCACAGACCTTCGGGGTAGTGACACATGTGGTGTTGAAATCCCCGGCTAAGATCATGACGTGGCGGCTGGGAATTCCACTCAGGGCGTGCCGAAGTCGTAGTAGATATTTGTGCCTGCGTTCCGGGGTGAGCGATTGATCATTCGCTGTGTACTGATATACATTCAAGATGTCAATGGGCTGGTGCTTGTTGACTCTCACGTGTAGTAGGCGGCCCGGCCAGATCTCGTGGTATTGCAGTTCTGAGCTCGTTGCCACCTTGGTGGAGACAATGGTGAGGACACCTCCTTGTTTATCTTCTTTGTTGTGTCCTGAGGAATGCACGAAGTGAAAATCGGGGGTGCTCCAATTGGCGTCGTAGTTCCAATGTGTCTCCTGCACAACGCAAACATCGATTGCTTCATCTGCAAGGTAGGTAGTTAACTCGCGGAAGATCGATGCATGTAGTCCGCCTGCATTCCAGGTGATCATCTTGATTGAACGACCTTTGGGTTGTTGAGGTCGATGCCTGTGCAGAGGTTGCGTGCGAAAAGACGTAGGCTGGAACCATTGATGCTGTCGCCAGATGCCTCGATAGAAGGCTCCACCTTCGCGGCAGGACCTTGCATATGCTCTTTTGTAGCTACGCTTTACACATCTGGAAATACCTGACTGTATGCCCGGGATTGCGGCATCCCATGGTCCCACTGGCTTTGCCTTGACGGCTTCAGACGTCCTAGTGGGATGAACGTCAACCCTCGCGTCTGTGCTCACTGATAAGGTAGACTGGATACATGCAATGAAGATCACCAGAGCAAGTTTGGTGTGGTGATAGCATGTCCTGTGAACACCGCCGGACTTGGGACCGGCGCAGCTGGGCTTGATACTCCGTGAGATGGTAGTTGATGTGATTGCTGTACCTGAAGGTTCCATTGCATTTGTCTGCGAACTCAAATCTTGTTGGCTGAAAGCACTGATATCATATGAGACTGCCTGCAGGAGCAGAAAGATCAAGAAGATCTGGAGAAGCTGGGTCTGGATGTCGCGAATGTGGTACCTTTCCAGATATTGACTGTGATCCAAAAGAGTCCAAGATATACTGTAATGTAAGTCACCCGCCGGCTGCTTTGGAAGGATCGTCAAGTGGTACCTGGCCAGTGGCGTGGTACATGTGGGTGATATGAAATCATTGATTGCATCACCCCACTGGTACACAGTCTCTTGCAGTCTTCTTTTCACCAGCTGTCCCATGTGCGAGGTCGTCTGTGCAGGCATGGCAGTCAGAGCCCGGCATTGCCGAGAGCTTTTGCCCACTCGTGGGTGAGGGATCTTAGGAATCCTACTCAGTTTTATCAGAGCGACGGTGCCTAAGCAGAGGCACTCCGATTGTTCAGGCTTAGAGGCTAAACGCATGCAAACACAAACTTTGATCAAATGAGGCTCGAGCTTCCGGTTCATTGGGGGCTCGGTCACGGCGTCGTTATTCGTGTTGGGCCTTTTGCGACGCCACGGTGCATAGGCGACTGCTTTCGATGTTGGCTTCAAGGGAGGTGTCTTGGGAGCCGGGGTCATAGGCGTAGTGGTAGTGGAAGTCATAGAGGCCATAGAGGTAGCCACCATTGAGGAAGCTGCGGAGGAAGCCGCGGCCGTAGAGGATGCCTCAGCCTCAGCTCCATGCAGCTCAGCATTCTCCTCATCATCTGCCGTAACTTGGGCCATGAAGCTCTGCGGTATCGTAGAGATTATGCGTGTAGTCTCCTCGTTTGTCATCTTCGTCCGGCCCTCGCGATTCATCTGATTGATGATCTGGCGGGCTGTGCGGCCCTCGTGGTCCTTCTGCTTGGCCAGGCGGTGCAGCTTGTCGTCGTTCGTCTCCACGCCCTCAAGCTCTCGGACTGGGCTTTCCTCCAGCATCTCGCCTGCCTCTTCTTCCTCCTCCACCGGGTTCACCTCGAGGACATTCGGGTGGAGCCTGAAGTCGCCCCGCAGTGGTTCGATGCGGATCAACATGTCTCCCATGCTCCGGTAGTCGAAGGGAACCAGGACTAAGATATTTCCCACCGTCACTCCGTCCTCCGCAAAGGCCTGTGCCAGGGCGCTGGCGGTGCGATGCGCCACTCCTTGAACCACCTGTACGGCTTGGGGAGGTGGTGGTCCTCGTGGCTCTGGCGTGCCTCCTGGTGTGCATGGTGCCGCCATTGGTCCCGGCTCCTCTTCGCCAGCGTCTATGTCCTCTGAATCGATGGTGGCCCTCCCGTCCAGGTCCTGGTCGGGGCTCTCCGCCGGGTCTTCCGTGGAGCCTGCCGGCATTTGTCCACGTTCTGAGCTCTCGCCCGCGTTTGGCATGTTGATCAATGTCGCTGTTCGGGGTTCTCGCTGTATGGGCCCGCTTCGAGCCGAATCTTGCATGAACGATCCCTGCATATACTCATGTGCTCTCGCAGCAGTCCAGATTGGCTTCAAGAAAAGAACATGTTGCAACAGAACTCGTGCACTCAAGCTTGTAAAAGCATGCAAGGGGCACATGGCTGTGGTGCGGAACTCACACAGTATCCGTCTGAAAGTTCTGTAGATCCTGTGTCCAGGGCGTGCAGGCATCCCTCTAGCTCTCCTTCTCCGATAGCGCCTGCGTCTTGTTGGGCAGAAGCGGAATCGCCATCTTCTACATGTTCGCCCCGGGCAGTCACGACCTCCTAAATGTTGTGGGATCAGGTCAGGGGTCCATCTGGTTAAGGTCCAGCAGCGGGGGCGGTGGCTCTCCTGCAGGCCAGAAGCAAGGTAGCCAGCTGGGGAACTGTAGTCGTACCCATTTGTACAGCTCGTATTCATCTGGAGGAAAAGGTGATCTCCTAGCTGCTTGCAGTGCCCGTCCAGGGTGGGAATCTTCTGTCCATTCCATATCCCATCTGTTAAAGAAGGTAATATTTTCAGAGTAACCGCCATGGGCTCGTGCTTTTGCCAACATGAGTTGGCCCAGTGTCGACAGAAATTGCAGTCGTTGACGCGGCCTGGCAAACAGCTCCCTGGCGTATGTTGCTTCCAAGTCCACTGTAATCTTGTTGTGATTCGGGATCCAAGGGTCAAGGTCCGCGTCTGAACGTTCAGGTACAGTTGTGCAGCCAAGCCAACTCGCCATATTGTTAGTAACAGCAGCAATGCAAACATTAGCCCTCGCTGGGCCTGTTGAAGCGTGAGCCGGAAACTCTTGGATTTCCCGTGAACACGGCTACGCGTTTTGGATTGCAGCACAGTTGATACGATGGCTGGCCAAAATCTACCCTTCGTCTCACGCCTGGGGAGGCCTTCAGCCGAGACGCTTATGGTAGTAGTAGTAGTAGTAGTAGTAGTAGTAGTAGTAGTAGTAGTAGTAGTAGTAGTAGTGTAGCAGTAGTAGTAGTAGTAGTAGCAGTAGTAGTAGTAGTAGTAGTAGTAGTAGTAGTAGTAGTAGTAGTAGTAATAAGTAGTAGTAGTAGTAGTAGTAGTAGTAGCAGGAGTAGTAGTAGTAGTAGTAGTTGTTGTTGTAGTAGTTGTAGTAGTAGTTACAATTGCATCCCATTCCTCCATTCCCTACGAACCAAAGGTAAGAGTAAGGCAGCAATGCATGACGGACGTCGGTCCTTAACAGTGATGTCTCTGGCTTGTAACAGCCAGCCCATTTAAATGACGCGTGGTTCGCGGACGATGCTGCGACAAAGTCAGGCCGAATCGGAGTCCCAACACTACCATCGACAAGGTAAGAGGAGTAGTCAGGGTTTCGAGCTTCAAGCTTCTGGATTAGGGTATAAGGCTTCAAGATTTTCGGCTTGGAGCGTCTGGATTTAGTGTTTCTGTGGCTTTTGGACTTAGGTTCAAGGCTTCGAGCCTTGAGGTGTAGGGCTTCTGAAAGGGTTTAGGGTTTAGGGCTTAGGGTTTTAGTGTTTCGGGTTTAGGGTTTCCTTGGGATGTAGGGTTGAGGGTTCTTATGCTGAGGGTCTTGGACTCAGCAGTTGGACGAGTCAGCTGTTAATGTGCCGATGGAAGACATGTTGAAGCTTCCGACAGCCGCTTTACGCAGGCACCTGATCGCGGGTGCCACTGACACAAAATGGTAACAGCAACACACATGGCATGCTAGAGACAATGCTGAACAAAAAAAATAGCAGCTCGGCTTCAAACTGCTCGCCAGACGAGAAATATCGCCTGGCCACTGCATCTTCCGGCTGCTGCGAAGCTGTTGCCTTGAAATGTTTTCTGACGGAGTTCTACGACGCTTTGTAGTTTATAAAACCTGAATGGGGCTTTATAGAAAGGGTTTTAACAAGGGTTAGTATAAGGGCTGCTGACTACTAGTGCTTGGTGTAGGGGCCTTCACAAACAATTACGATCGGGTTTTGGGGCATAGTAAAAGTAGAGAGCATTTTTCTGCCAATCGAGAATCCGCAAAATCCGCTCAAAAGCGATAGAGCATGCACTGTCCATCGGTTAGGTACACGCCGGGACTTATTGATGTCCCGTTGTCGAATTCGGAGTAGAAACCCAAAGACGGGATGGTTGTGGGGTGTATGTGTGTGTGTATATATATAAATTATATCATATAGTATAACATTATATATATATATGTGTATATATATATATGCATGTATATGTATGTGCATGTGTGTATGTACATATACATATATGTACATATATAGTGGTCTTCAGCTTGGTAGCTTGAAAGCTATGTCGTGACGACCCATATCAATAACAGAAACTCGGACTACCCCCAAACCGAAATTAGTAGATAGGGTTTGGGCTTTAGGGTTCAGGACTGTGGCTTTGTGGTTTAGGCTTATCCGCTCTTCACTTTGAACCGTGATAAGCTGAATGAGTGATTGGATTACCGTTAATTATTTCGTATCAGATTTTATATATTTTTTGGGCAATATTCATATTATATCTGATAAAATAATTTTCAATTATTTAATAAAAATACGAGAAAAACGAATATTTCTCTAAATAATTTAATATTATGAGGACGTATAGAAGCGAATTCGTATATATATATATATACTAAATCGATGGATACATTATCTTTATCAACTTTCAACTATCGTATATATTTTTTTGATATATAATGAAGATCTAATATGGCAATATATATATATATATATATATATGTATATATATATATATACATATATAATTCAATATGAATTAATTATGGTATTAGCTGATGACTACCTAGCAACTAGATTTCGCAGATGTGGATGATTGTCAAAATCATGGCCCCGTTTTGGGTACCGATTATAATGCCACCTACTATTTATGGTACCCAAAAAAGGACCCCAATTTTGAACACCACCCATGTGAAGGGTGATGAAGGCTTCAGCTTCTGCTGGCGGCGTACGCACGCACTTCTTGGACGTGTGGAAGGCGCCTGCGAGAGGAACCTGGCTCTGATAAAAAGAAAGCCTAAGCCTTCTAAGCATTAAGGCTACGTGGAGGTTCATGGGTAGTTATAAGTAGGCAGGGTAACTATACCTATAGCCCATACTCCGGGACTTATAACCCTACTTATACCTACCCCCGAACCTCCAAGTAGGGTGTAACTTGGAGACGAACTATTGAGGGCAGGCCAAACCCTAAACCCTAAACCCTAAAACCCTAAACCCTAAACCCTAAGTGGTCTCCAGATCTTCCCTAACCCCTACAACCCTACAACCCCACAACACTAAATCCTAAATGGGAGCTTCGGAAAATAGGGGACCCTAATATAGTACCCCAAATAGTAGGATCCTTACTATAGGGACCCCAAGATAAGGAACCCCTTATTTTCGGAAACCCCCAAATCGTACATCCTTCTGCATCTTTGTGGCTAGTTGGAAGTGGGCCTTCACTCACCGAGGAGCGTGACTAAACTAGAGGAAACGCCGTGTATGCTCGTCTTGGTAACAGCATCAAACACCACACCACCACCAACAACAACCGCAACAGCAGCAACAACAACAACAGCAGCAGCAGCAGCAACAGCAGAAACGGCAGCCGCAGCAGCAGCGGCAGCCACAGAAGCATCGGCAGCAGCAGCAGCAGCAATAGCAACAGCACCAAGGCGGAACGGTTTTTTTTTCCTAGGTCTGGTCCGCCCCGGCTTGCTTTCCTAAGTCTGGTCCACTGGTTGTGGTTGCAAACAGCGGCAACTGCAGTCTTTGCTTCTATTTTGCATCAAGCTATTGGGGAACTAGGAATGGACGGCTCTGGTTTTGCTTCTGTTTTGCATGAAGCTATTGGGGAACTACAACTTGCGGAGTCTGATTTTGCTTGTGTTTAGCATCAAGCTGCTGGGGAACCACAAGTTGCAGGGTTCGGCTTTCTTTGTGTTTTGCATGAAGCTATTGGGGAGTTCGCATTTGCAGGGATCGGTGTTGCTTGTGTTTTGCATCAAGCTATTGGGGAACTACAATTCGCAGGGTCTTCTTCTGCTTGTGTTCTGCTTCAAGCTATTAGGGAACTACAATTTGCGGTGTGTTCTTCTGCTTGTGTTTTGCATGAAGCTGATATTAGGGAACTAGAATTTGCGGTGTGTTCTTCTGCTTGTGTTTTGCATCAAGCTCATCGGGAACTACAATTTGCGGGGTCGGCTTTGTTTGTGTTTTGCATCAAGCTATTGGGGAACTACAATTTGCAGAGTCTTTTATTGCTTGTGTTTTCCATCAAGCTAATGGGGAGCTAGCATTCGCAGGGTCTGGTTTTGCTTGTGTCTTGCATGAAGCTATTGGAGCACTACAATTTGCAGGGTCGTGTTTCGCATGTGAATATTGCGGGATTACAATTTCAAACCTTCTGTCTTGTGTCGTTGTTTTTTGGTGTCGTTGTCGACATCCTCGTCATCCTGTCGTCGTCGTCGTCCTCGTCCTCGTCGTTGCCGTCGTGGTAGTTGCTCTTGTTGTTGTTGTTGCTGTTGCTGGTGTTCTTGTTGTTGCTGTTGTTGTTGTGGTTGTCGTGGTGATTATGGTTGTGGCTGTTGCTGTTGATGTTGTTCTTGTTGTCAGACAGACGTGTTGTTGTTGTTGTTGATGTTGTTGTTGTTGCTGTTGTTGTTGCTGTTGCTGTTGCTGTTGTCGTAAGCCTCTCGGCTCAGGAAAGGTCAGGCTAGTACAGTTGCCTTTTTCCTTTCTTGCCATGGCACTTGTCAGCGCCTGAGCAGTCCCGGTCCCAAGTCCGGGAGGGAGTATTAGATTTACAGCTCTCTAACATCTCCCAGAGGTGAGGGTTGTCGGTATTGCGAAGCCGACAGGAGCCGTACTCAACATGAGTGCTGCGAAACAGCCTAGTGGTTCGACCAAGCATCAGCC